CGCCGTCCTGGCTGCCAGTGGCAGGCCACGGGCGGCGCTGCTGGCGCGAGTGGCGCCTCTTTCGTGACGGCCGCGTGCATGCGCTCTCTGATTCCTCCGAGCCGCCCGTCGGCCGCGCAGCTGCAGTGCCCTCGACATCCAACACCTCGCGAACCAGCGTGGAGCATACACGCTCGAGGCACAGCACACCCATCCCCGGGCGGCCTGCTTTCGGCCAGCATAGCGGCGCTAGCGCGGGTTATCAGATGTGGTGGGCGAGCAACCAGGATGAGAAGGGGTGCCACGCGCTTATCAGGCCTGTCCTGTGCCACGTTGGTAACGGCGGTGCCGCATTCCCCCATCGCTACACCCGCACGGTCAAACAGGTCTAATGTCAACGACGTTCTGCTGCTGCTGAGAGCTCTGTCTGGCGTCTCTGCAGCTGTGTGTCGTTGCAGGCGCCACGCCAACGAATGATAATGGCGTGCATGGGTGACCTGCCGAGCTCGCGCGCCTAGCACGTCGAGCACCCCGGTCGAGCTCTGAATTCAATTCTACAAAATTGCGTAAAAGAGTGGGGAGGCGGCCCTGTCATGCGTGTTCCGCGACGGCACGGCTTCGCGGAGCTGTGCCTTATTTCACCCTCTATGCAGTCACCTGCGGCGCGAACACCGACAGCGTGGATGGCCATCGTATCGTGCAGCAGTTGTATGCTGTCTTGACTCGCTGGTACTTGCGCAGGACAACATCTCGCAGCGATGAGGAACAGGAGAACAGCGACTTTGAGCAGCGGATGGCCTGATCGCGATGCACCCTGTGACGGAGTGCTTCAACGCAACCAGTCACGTTGCCAGAAAGATCGAAAAGACACCATTCAGCCGCACCGTCAGTCTCGTTTCCAGACTGTCGGAAAGCACTTCGCCCGATCAAGCCGACGATGCCCAATCTGAGCCATGAGCAGCAGAGGGGCGTGAATAAATGTCGAAGCTATAAGGTGTGGCTTGAAGAAGGGTGTCTTCGTATCTGATAGACGAACAATTCGCGATTGCGGATCGAAAATTGCCGATGAAGGGCTCTTGATCTGCTATAGAAGGCATGGTATGCATACGCAACTAAGGCCGTGCAAAGGTGGAAGTTGCCGTTGTTGGAGCTACCTTTCCAACGGTAAATTGTGGTGCAGCTGGCTGCAGCAGCGCTGCGGATCTGCACACGTGAGTTCGCCAGTGTGCTGCAATCATGAATTCGGGCAGCTTTGCTTGCCGCGGTGAGATTCTGAACGGTGGCTAGGCGCCTTGACGCGATCGTAGGAGCTTCTGACGATTCAGATAACCATGGCCAAGAAATGTCATCGATGAGCTGTCCATTGAACGAGGCGGACAACACCAGGTTGTCTTGTCCACGTGCATCTGCGTTGGTTCTTCACGGGGAAGAGCACCGGGAGAGAAAAGATTGGGAGCTTCCACCCGCGGCTGCCGCTTCGATGTGCATGGATGGTTGCATTCAGCAACAGACGCACTGCCGCCCAAGCTCAACGTCTCGAGATCAAGGGCTGCGATACAACTGCGACATCTTGCAGCAAGGTCACACCATTTCATGGTCGATATGTGCATGTTAGAACCTTCGATTTGGTAGTGATTTGCATGAATGAACGTAAGGTTGTAGAAAAGACGATTAGCGAGTGGTTCAAAACAGCTTGAGAATGAGAATGTCTTCTAATGCAGTCGGATGAGATGAGAAAGTCGTCGCAGAAAGTGCTTCCTGCTTACATAGAGTGAGTCCTGCTCTGCCAGCCAACCTGCCAACAGCTGCATCGAAGTGCTCTTGTGTGTGCAAAAGTCGTGGAACCCCCGGAGCCCTCCGCAGTGCACCCTCAGCAGCTGCGACACGCAACATCACCATTGGGCGTGCACAATAGACATCACCACTGCGATGCCTCCCAAACCATCATCAATAGCCCTCGCGCTACCACCAAGATTCCTGTGTCCAGCAATATCCCGCCAGTTCATCCGCACCATACGTTCGATAGCACCTCCAAAGAAAGTACACAAATTCAATCATGGCAAGAATCTACCAACGCTCCAAGCAAGTGCCAAAGCCGCTTTCGAGAGGAGAAAACACAACTTCCCGCTTCGCACAGGCGCGATAGCAATCAAGAAGGGCATGACCGGCATATACAATCCTACGACAGCAAAACGCGAAGCCTGCACAGTGCTACAGTTGGATAGATGCCAGGTCATCAGTCACAAACGACGGGAGATACATGGCTACTGGGCTGTCCAGGTTGGCTTTGGAACAAAAGAGGCACGAAACGTGACGCGGCCTGAAAGAGGGCATTTCGCAGCACAAGGAGTACCGATCAAGAAAGAAGTCGCCGAGTTTCGCGTGAAGAACGAGGAAGGCCTACCGAAAGTCGGATCGGTCATTTCAGCCGATTTGTTTCAAGAAGGACAATACATCGACGCACGCGGTGTGACACGCGGTATGGGTTTTGCAGGTGGCATGAAGCGGTGGGGATTCGGCGGTCAGCCTGCCTCGCACGGTACCAGTTTGACGCATCGTGCGATGGGTTCTGCCGGTGCCTCGCAAGGTTCTGGTTCGAGGGTTCTACCCGGAAAGAAGATGGCTGGACGCATGGGAGCGGAAAGACATACGGTTCAAAACCTCAAAGTCATGAAAGTTGACCCGGAGAATGGCATTGTGGTCGTTCACGGCGCGGTTCCTGGCCCTCGAAATTCGATTGTCAAGATTCAGGACGCGATCAAGAAAGACGTAAGTTACCTCTTGCTGCAAGGCTTTCCCCCTGCGAAAGAAATGGAAGTGGAGCGAAATCCTCGCTCGGCCTCGATCCAATGAGGACTGCGAACTGCCACTCTCAGAGATATGCTAAGACTATGCTAATGACTCCCAGTGGCCAGATGTGGACCCCAATGTTGGAATTTCTACTTGGATCAGACAAGGCGAAACTCCGGCACCTCCTCCAATGGAGGCATGAACCAGCACATGGAATTCGCAGCGCAGCAGCAACAGGTTGGACAAAAATAAACCCAACATTGTGGAGCAAATCCCATAGGAAGCGAGCCGGCTTCCAAGCGAATGTGTAGCGAAATCTGCAATGCATGCCACAAGAAATTCAAGCCACGGCCGAAGCGGCCCACCGGTATCGAGCCAGGATCATTTTCACTTGCCGCGCGACAGCCGCGAAGGAAAGCTGTAAACGCGTATGAAATACGACCCGCGCTTAGAGTTTCCCGCGCGCGGACGTCGCGAAACAGTCCGTATTCTCGGGCCACTGCGTGTCGGCGTCCCCGTCTTGTGCGACTTCGGCTATTGCAACACAGATGCTAGAGGCTGAAGAAGGCTGAGCCGAGCCGGTCTGCGTTCTGGAGCGGCCTGTAGGACGAGGCCGTTTGTACGACTGTATCAGTGTTGATGACCACGCGTGGCAGGTGTCGTACAGTTTCGCAAAGATGTAAAGTATATATGCAGACGATGTAACAAATGATGAAGCGGAAAGCTCCTCGGAGAGGTTGTGTGTATTCGTTTCGTACCGGAGTCCAACCTCCCGCTAATTGTCTCCCGTCTTGATCGAGGCACGCATGCTCTACGATTCTGGGCCGCCGCTTTTTGGCCCAAGCAACGTGTGCGGACGGTTTGGTGCATCTTGCTTGTACTTCCCGTCCTACAAAAGCATCGAGTCGTCATCAACTTGTAGCAGACGGGATGCTGTGCACAGGGCGTATCGTGGAACGTCGCGTCCGCTACTTTTTCGAAACCTTCCAGTCAGAGCCTCGCGATATTGCCGTTCATTCGCAAATGCTATAGTTCCATATCGTCATCATCGTCCTGGTAGTTCCCGCTCCCACCCAGAGCATCCTGGCCATCGGCTTCCTGCTCCTTTTGTGCATCCTCGCGTGGCTGGTTCAGCTTTCTGCAAATATACCATCGTCAGTCAATCCCGGACATCACGAGGAATCAACCCAGGCGGGAGATCTCCCGATTCTACTCACCTCAGCCCGTCCACCACACCTCCCACAAACCCTCTGATCTCTGCAACTTCCATCCCTCCAACTCCATTAACCTTCAATCCAGCACCTGCTTCTAAAGCCTTGAAACCTTTCCTCAATTTACTCATTCTCACTTCCCTCAAATCTCGTAACAGTCTCCTCACAGTATCCGGATCCTCGAAATCATCGCTCGCATGCGTGAGTAATAAGAACCCAAGCTCATTCCAATGATATGGTAGACGTTCTTGTTGCGCTCGACTTGTACTGCTGTCTTTTATGAAAGGACTGCTGATCTCCAAGCTCTCGTGTTTGAGGTAGGGTTCGTTGGGGAGACTGACGCCTGTGGATTCTGGGAGGTCGGGACCCGGTGCTAATGCGCCCGCGAGTCTGGGATCGGTCTCGAATTCGAGAATGGATTGGAGAGAGGAAGGCGAGAGCCAGGGTGGTGGGGAGATATTGGCTCGTTTTTGGCGTTTGAGAAGGAGGGCGAGCCAGAGGGGGAGTTGGGCTGGGAATGGTGGGTTGAGGCGTTCTGTAGGGCCCTATATGTACAGGCTAAGTCAGTGATTGAACGACGAGGAGAAGAGTATTTGTGCCAGCCTCTTACGCTGTTGGCTAGGTAGGATTTCAACTCACTCCTAGCAGCTCCAGTCCTTCGAGTCTTTGGCGGGGGATCACCGTGACGAGTTCCATTTCGCAGAGAAAACCGACTTCGTTTGGCGTGAGGCCGGGAGGGAGTGGGAGGGCCATCGTGTGTCTTGGTGCATATCTGACAGCAAGCCGAAGAAGTTCGTCGCTGATGCAGAAGTGTTCCGAGTCGCAAGTGGGATGTGTTTCTTGGAGCGCGTCTCGTCCGTTTCGTGTCACGCGCAGCCAATCACAGTCCGACGCCAAGACCATGACATGTGCACCACTTTCCTCCCCGGTCCTGGTCTCTGCTTCCAACGACATCACACTCTCGGGCGAATGTCCGAAGGGTGTGAAGAGATCGATCAGCGTCACCATTGCGGACGCTTACAAGACTCTGTCGAGGAACAACATGGCGACTGCAGTGGCATCTCTGCTCGCACCTCTTGCAATCTGGTTCAAAGCAGTCGACAGTACTGTCCAGGAGCCCTATCTGGTACGTACGTCGCTGCATTGAAGGTAAGTACTTTCATCTCACTGTCTCTTGCAGGACGAGATCTTTCATATACCGCAAGCACAACATTACTGCGCAGGAAGATGGCACATCTGGGATCCCAAGCTCACGACTCCACCTGGCCTCTATTTGATCTCCTATCTCGTTCAACCTCTTCTTGGCTGTGAGGTGGGATCTTTGAGAGCTGTCAATGCCGGATGCTTGGTCGCATTGTTGCTGGCTCTCGTAGCCACATACACTGTTCGACGGAAAGCCAATGGCCAGACAGGTTACCTCAGTGGCCTGCTGGCTGTGCACAGCTCGCTGAACATTGTTCTCTTTCCGCCGCTCTTCTTCTTCTCAGCCCTCTACTACACCGATATAGCATCTACGCTATCATGGACGACCTTCTACTGGTTCTTCCTGCGATGCATTGACAAGAGAGACTTCTCCCCTGTCGATGCACTGCTGCAAGTTATCCTGGGAGTTGCGAGCCTGTCCTTCAGACAGACTAACATTTTCTGGGTTGCTGTCGCACCTTTGGCATTGAAGTTAGTCATTGAGCTCGATCAAGGTCATCGCGTTGTCAAACAGTCGATGTACAAGAGGGCTGAGGGTTTTGGCGACTCGACTTGGAGCGTGGCGAAGACGAGCTGGAAAATGAATGTGATCTACGATCCCCCCGTCCGCGATGCGTTCATTGAAGGTTAGCATACAATACGATCGGCTAGGGCGAGAGCTGACTGGACACAGACTACATCCGCACTATCGTGTCCATCGCCGCCTGTGGTCTAAAAGCCGCCACCCAACCGAAACGTATCATGAGTATCGGGCTCGCACTGTCACCATACCTGACTTTGATCGCCGTATTCGCGAGCTTCATCCTATGGAACGGGGGCGTTGTTCTAGGCGACAAGAGCAATCACATCGCCACCATCAACCTGCCCCAGATGCTCTATATCTGGCCGTTCATCACGTTCTTCTCGTGGCCCCTGCTCTTACCGCACTTCATGATGGGTGCTCTCACACTGGTCTCCAGAATTGGGCAGGTCTTGCCCCTGGAGCCACTACTCGTGTTCAAACGCCGCAACTTCTTGCCCCGAGCGTACCTGGTACTCGCCTTCACGATATTCGCCCTAGCAATCGTGCATTTCAACACCCTCGTCCACCCATTCATGCTGGCTGACAACCGACACTACGTCTTCTACGTGTTCAAAAGGCTGCTCCGACCTCAGTGGGTTCGCTACCTTGCAGCACCAATCTACGTCCTCACAGCTTGGGCCTGCATCTCATCACGGGGAGAAGCTCCCTACAGCAACATGGGTCTCACCGCGAAAGACAACAGAAGCCGATCCCAGACTCGTGCAGCGAGCGCCAACGACACCACAAGAGATAACCTGAAACACAATGCCCTCACGGACGCCTCACGAGACCCTTCGCACATTCCAGATGGAAAAAGCACACCAATGGTGTCTTTCATCTTGGTCAATCTCGCGACAACAGCTCTAACGCTGTGCAGCGCCCCCTTGGTCGAGCCGAGATATTGCATCATTCCGTTCATCATGTGGCGGATGCACTTGCCATTGTATGCGGTCAACGAGACTCGAGATAAGCAGGTTGCCAAAGAGAAGAGTTGGAGCGCTGTGCTGAAGGTATACGATTATCGAGTCGTGGTAGAGACGGTATGGTTCTTGGTCATAAACGCGGCTACGGGGTACATTTTCTTGAATTGGACGTTCGAGTGGCCTAGTGAGCCAGGGAAGCTGCAGAGGTTTATGTGGTGAATTTTCAATCCTGGCAAAGATGGATGGCGCGTTTCCAGGTGTCCGTGTGGGCAGATTCGCTGGCTTTGTGCGAAGCAATTGTACATATTATAGTGTATCACTACATACGCATTTCGCAAGGCTATGCAAATATATATCCAGAGACTTGAGACTCAGCTTCGCACGGCAGAATGGATTTATTCTGAGTAGATTGAGGTGTATCTGGAGACAGCTGGAATCGGGACGATTTTAGCCAATTTGCCCCGACTTGGTTCAAGCACTTGAGTATTTCCAACTCGTTCTCTAAGGACACTGCGCTCTTGGCGACGACATCCAAGATTTGCTCCTCCTCTTGACCGTCAAACGTCAGTGCGCCATGGAAGAAGCAGGAATGAAATGTTTGGTGTGCTCTCCCAACTTTTCGCTTTAGTATGCTCCAAAAGCAACCAATCTGGACCTATTCTAACCACTGTTGTTATGATGTTCTCGACTCACACCGATTCGTCGTCTAGTCTTGATAGTGCGGATTTGCAGTGCTCCTGCTGTTCGAACCTATCATCCGGGTAAGCTAGAGTAGATACCAAATAGTAGATCAACGATACAAGATCCGGGAAGGCATTGTGAACAAGCTAACGTGTCGCCGATAGCTTGGCTTGCATGCTCTCTACCTCTTCTAATAAAGAGCGTATAGCAGGTAGCATCGCAGCGAGCGTACGGCCATGTGCTTCGTAACCTTCAACGTATTTGGCAGCGTAAGTCTCGACCGCATCATTGTAGACTGCTCTCTCACACTCTCAGAGGCGGCCATATAGCTTGCTAGCGTTGCTCATTGCCTCCATAAAGTCGTGATCAAGCTCAGCCGCTCCCAAGCGTCTGCGCACGGCATTGACAAGCTCTCTACTATCGAGATCCTCGGCGCTCTGTAGCCTATCAACTCCAGCTTTTGCAACGATGTATAGGAGGAGGAAGTATAGCTCCTTTACAAGACTGGAGTGAAAGAACATTGCGCGTTTGGCGAATAGTAATAGTCTAGACGCCTAGTACGTGTCGGCAGAGTATGGCGAATAGAAGTTAGCTAGCTATAGCTGATGTCGCGGCGCTCCCGTGGGATATAGCAGGTCTTTCTCTTCGGGCTTCCTCTCGTCGGTCTCCTCGGTCTTCGCGCGCTTGTTGGGGCTGTCTCTAAACGGGAACGTGCGCTTCTTGGGTGCTCTATATAGGTTTTCGATCTCCACGGGATTCTTCGGGTCCTCTTCTGCTTTAATCGCCGCCTTTTTTGCACGGCCTTTGTCTCTATCCTTCTTCTCTTGTTCTCCCGAGACTGTAGTAGAACCAGGACCTTACCTATCCGACAACATACCGCTAAATCGCTTCGTCTGGTGCGCCAGCTGATGCTGGCCAGTCCTGCTTCGAGAAGAGTTATATGCTGAAGATCATGTTTAGGGTACCTCCGTCCTTGGGGATCGCGGCACCATCTTTATTGTGGACGTAAATACGAAACGGGTGCCTTTCGCTTTGCTTTGAATCGTCCCAGGCCGTGTTCTTGTTGGGCGTCGTCATGTTCTCGAAAGGACTTGTGTACTTGGAGGCCACAAGGTCGAGCACCGTGCACGGGCCCGGCAGAGCCAGTCACTCCTCTAGGCACCAGATCAAGACGTTAAGCTTTTGCCATTACCGCTTAGCAAGCGTGACATCGAGGCCTTCTTGCCTGACAGCCCATGCGTTGATTAGCTTCCAATCCTTCTTCGGCTCCTTCAACTTCATGTCGTAGCGGAAAACCATGGCCGGGACCAGTTTCGACATCTCGAGCATGGCGATGTTCCTGCCGAGACACGTCCTTTTGCCAGCACCGAAGGAGAGAATATGATGATCCATGTACTTTACTCGTTCGGCGTCTTCAGAAAGCCATCGATCAGGGTTCCAGGTCTCTGCGTCAGAGCCAAAGATACGTGTATCGCGGTGCAGCACCCAGGGATTCACGCCAACGATCGTACCTGGAGGGATGAAGGTCTCGCCAAGCTGAAAGCCACTGGCAGGAGTGACGCGTTCTAGTGGCAATGCGAGAGCTGGGTTGAGACGCAAGCCTTCTTTGATGACTGCATTCAAGTACGGTAGCGCTTGCACCTCTGTCCATGTCGGTAGGGGTGTTGTGAGCTTGTCTTGCTTCTGCGCCCTCACTAGCTCTTCTCGAAGCTTGTCCAGCGTTGAAGGGTTCTTCAGCAAGTAGTAGAAGATGGCTCGCGTTGTTGATGCAATAGTATCAGAGCCCGCATTGATGTTGATGAAAAGATATGCCAACAGCGCTTGATTCGTGACCACCTCTGGTTGTTCATCGTGAAGCTTGAGAAACCGTGAAAGGAAGTCTGGCTTGCTCGGAAGTGTGCCATGTAAGACTTTCTCGTTGAGTGCAGCATCGTTCAGATTTGGCACTTCAATAGACTCTCCATCGTCTTTGCTGTCCAGTCTTTCCTGAAGTCGTCGCTGACCGAATGCGAGTATGGGATTCATTTTGCCCTTCACGAAAATCTTCTGAAAGAGCGAGCTTTTGTAGATCCATTCATCCAGCCACGGCATCTGCCCGAGAACTGAGCATCGATCAAAATTTGCCGCTATCGAATCGGCGATATTCTCGACGTCTTCTGCTCGCTCCAGAAATCCTAGGCGCTTGGACAGTGTCAATTCTCCGATCACGTCGAATGCGTACCTATTACGAGCTCAGTACTGCTTCTTTTCCCAAACCCCTGTCTGCCTCACTCACCACTGCAACCAGGTACCAAGGTCACACACTCTACCGGTCGTTGCGAAAAGCTGGTCGACTCTGTCCAGGAAAACCGCTGTCGTCGAATCAATCAGAGGCTCGAACTCCACAAGCGTGCTCAGGCTATATGCGCTGGCGATCGGTCGCTTCATCGTAGCATGTTGCTGCTCATCAGTCGTGAAGACAAGACTAGCTGTTCGCTTGCCATGGACAATATTCTGCCAGACGGAATAGAAGTCTGATTTGGGAGCTTTGACCGATATGCCATAGATCGTGTTGATGACCTCTGGCTTAGATACACTGACGCAATTTGGACCTATTCGCACCAGATCGCCATGCTTCTTGTGCAGCTGGAGATATGTATCGTGTGAGTCTCTTCGCCAGACGACCAGTAGGCGATACAAATCAGTGAATCTTGCCAGTAAGGGACCAGGTATGGTGCGCAGTCTCTGCCATGTCAGTACAAGGTGTAGCGACAGCCAGCCCAGAGCTATGACGATCAGTGTAGAAGGAGATAACAATGTAGAAGAGGAGAAGTGGTCAAGGACAGAGGAGAGAGTCTTGGCTAACATGATTGCTCATGAAACTGGAATAGTTGATACTTGTTGGGAGAATGCTTTGAAGTCAGATATAGCTCGTGCATGTTCCGCTCCCGTGGAGCAGCACGCTTGGCTCATGGTGCATGACAATGCTGCAAAGCGGAAGGACTGAAGATCGTTGGTGGGAGGCTGAAGCAAGAAGCAAGCATCGAACCGGAAGTATTCCGTGGTCAGCCAAATTGAGTTTTGCGCTAGCAGGGGTCAAATGCCGACCTGCTTCAATTTTTGAGATGGCCGCAACAGCGAAGCAGAGCAGAGCGGCGAACGACAGCATACTCAGCAGCATGGCAGCGACAACGTTCCTGCCGACCTTAGAGGCGGAATCTCATAGATTCTTACAGCCGGATTTGCCACTCTACACCGATGCCGTCGCATACCTGAAAAACGTCCTCGACCCGCTGGCCAAGGACATCAGTGCGGAGCAGCAGCAACGATTGAAGGAGTCGCGCAAGAAGAGGAAGCGAGGCGAGGGTGGTGACGAAGAAGTGCTACGTTTGCGGCAGATACATACAGATGGCTTCAGCGTCGAGCAGGTGTGGGAACAAGCACGAAGAGTACTCGATGCAGCGGCGGATGAGGTCCAGCGCGAATACGAGAAAGTGCAGGAACAACTCGAGGGAGACAGCGACGAGGATGGTGCTGATGCGCAATCAGGCTTGGACGGGGAGGATGAGGACCTAGGAGTGGAAGGTGTGGACTATGAAGTCGAGGGAGTAGATGACGGCGAGGAGGAGTATCACTCTGATGGGGATGAGGACGAAGAAGACGAGCTGGACCTGAATGGTGATACGCACGACGACTTCGACGAAATGGAATTAGACGAAGACGAGGACGAAGCAGAGGTACCAGCAGCAGAGTTCGTGGAAGACAAATTTGGCTTGAACGACGGCTTTTTCTCAATCGATGACTTCAATAAACAATCCGAGTTCTTGGAGCAGCAGGATTTCCGAGGCGAAGCCGAAGTGGAAGAGGATGACGAGGAAATCGACTTTGATGCAGATCCCATGGCGCAAGCTTCAGCTGGCGCAAATGGAGACGCTGGCGCTGACGATGAAGAAAGCGAAGGCGAAGAAGATGGACCTACATTCGGCGATCCTGATGCAGAGAGCGAAGACGAAGATGAAGATGGTGAAGGTGTTGGAGACATGGATGCAATGGGCGGCATGGGAAATACCAACAGCATAATGTACAAGGACTTCTTCGCGCCGCCAGCGCAGAAAAAGCGCAAGAACAAGAAGGGGCGACCGAACCCGCACAACTTTCCCGAAGCGTCTGCTTCGAAGTCGACAAACGGTGCGGCACAGGAAGAGTGGGCCGAGCCAGAGGACATGCAGCGGACCATGGATGCGGTACACCGTGACCTGTTTGAGGAGTCAGATGAAGAGGAAGAGGAAGAAGACGAAAAGCCTGATCCAGCCGATCCTCGATCGCGTCGTTCAGCGCATGAGCGTCGAAAGCTGCAGCTACAGGAGGAGATCCGGAAGCTCGAAGCTGCCAATGTAGCCAAACGTGACTGGCAGCTTTCAGGTGAGGCGCGCGCGGCCGACCGCCCTGTCAATGCACTTCTCGAAGAGGATCTGGACTTTGAAAGAGCTGGCAAACCTGTACCAGTCATTACCGCAGAAGTCAGCGAAGACATTGAAAGTCTGATCAAACGCCGCATCCTTGCCTTTGACTTCCAAGACATCATAAAGCGACGACCAGACGATCTTGCCACTGGAAACGGGAAGCGTGGCAAGCTTGACTTCGAGCTCGATGACACCAAGAGCAAGAAAGGCCTGGCCGAGGAGTATGAGGAAGAATACTCTCGCAGAACAGATCCGAACTACGTGGACGTCAAAGACGAGAAACTGGCGAAGGAGCAGAAAGAAATCGAAGCTCTGTGGAAAGAAGTTTGCGGCCAGCTCGATGGCCTCTCATCTTGGAACTTCAGACCCAAAGCACCAGCACCTCAAATGGACATCCGTGTCGACGCGCCAGCCATCACAATGGAAGATGCACGACCCTCAGCTGGTGGTGAAGTTGCCGGCGCAAGTCAACTGGCACCTCAAGAGATCTACAAAGCCGGCGAGGGCAGCAAAGCCGATAAATCTGAAGTTGTCGGCAAGTCTGGGCTGCCTGCCGGACGAGAAGAACTTGATAAAGATGAACGGAAGAGGAGAAGACGACGAGAAAAGGAACGCATTCGGAAAGCTAGCGGGAATGCGGAAGGTGCGAATGGGAAGCCGAAGGAGAGTAAGGCTAAGAAGGCGAAGAAGGATATGCTTGGGGATCTCAAGAAGGGTGGTGTTCGCGTTATTGGAAAGAAGGGACAAGTTACTGATGTGGAGGGCAATGAAGCACGCAATGAGACTGGCGGACAAGGTGCAGGGAGGTTCAAATTGTAGGCAAAGATGGAAATGTACTACGGTGGCCACGGTCACAGTATTTGTTCACATTGTCCGCATATCTTGTCTTTCTCCAGCAGTCCTTCCTTCCAGGACGCGATCTGTGGAGTTACATATGCTACTCTATGTCTGCCATGTCCTTCTGCTCGGATCAATCTTGACTGGATTCTGTCCTGACAATGTCCTCGAAGAATCTTCACTGCGCCTTCGTATGCCCATGCACAACCTCCGCCTCCACGCCCGAAGGCCCAAAAGCCAACAAACCAAGTGCACTCGGCGCCAAAGCCCCCGCATTCACAATCGCAGCTTTCCACGAAAGCGCAACAGATTTCCTCCTCGGCTTCATCTTCAGTTCCTTCTCCTGCTTCATCATCTTCGAAATCGTAGCACAAGAAGAAGAAGCCGTCCCAAATTTCTCTCGAATTTCCTCTTCTGTGAAAGCTCTGGTTTTCGTCCTTAACACTGCTGCGATTTCCTGCAGACTCATCCCGATTTGTTCTCCAATTGGTACCAGACATTCGGCGAGCTTCGCGTAGTCTTTTGTGAGGAGGCGGTAGGTTAACATTAGGTAGTCGATGTTATGAAAGACTAGTGCCCGGCCTTCTGCGTAGGCTTTCTTTGATTGCAGGAAGTGGAGTGGTTGGTCGCGCCAGTGCCTGCGAGGATTGAGGTGGTGAGCTGTATGGTAGCCGTCGTTGAAGCAGAAGCGGTTACTGGGGACGTCGATTAATGTTATGCTTGAGCGGAAATCGGAGTCCGGTTCGATTTCATCGACGAGGGCGTGTTGGCCCCAGTTTCCGATCATAAGGCCGAGACGGAGGAGAATGAAGGGTATTATGAGGGTGAAAATGCTGGCGCGAAAGTTGACTTTGGTGGTCATGAAGATCATGAAGGTCATGCTGGCGATTTCGGAGAAGAAGGATTTAGCGGCGAGCTTGGTTTTGTTTTTGCGGAGGAAGTAGAGTGGAAGGTCGAGCCAGATGAGGAAGAGGAAGCGGCCGAGGTAGTGGAGAAAGTGCCAGACGTTGTCGCGTTGGTAGCGGATTGTGGAGGAGAGGTCTTCGGGGCCGTTGCCTTCGACGTGGTGATGTTTCACGTGGTGGTAGTAGTATGAATCCCAGGTGTGTCCCATTAGAGGTTCCAAGATGTAGGGAAAGGTCAGGTCCAGCCAGGCCCATCCTTTTGATAGAACGCCGTTGTTGTGGATGTGGTTGTGCATCATGAGAGTGAAGCCCCCGGTGCACCAGAAGGTGAAGGCAACGTGAGCGATGCCATGGAGGTAAGTGAAGTTGTAGTAGAGGTAAACTGCGCTTGGCACGTTGACAGAAAGGTAGAGCAGGATGTGCGTCAAGAATATCACATCTGTAGGATGCCGCACTATGTTTGAAGCGACCTTGATGTATGGCTGGATCAAGTACTTCTGGAGAGTTGGATGTATGTCCTTGGCATCCCACGTTGCGAATACTGTTGGCTCGAAATCTGGACTGGTCGGGTCGTTCAATGCTTTCATGCGCTCGAGTGCTGAGTCATCGCTGTCGTCTGTTGCGTGAGCTATGCTGGGTGATTTGTGATCATCTGGGTGCTGCTGTTCGTTATGCTTGGCTCGCGTTCGGAATTGCCTGGCGTTGTCTTCAAAGAGATTGCGCAGCAAGATCAGATCTGGTTCTGTCAAGTATGGATCAATGCTCGTCATAATGAGAAATGCAGAACTGTTAGCCACAAACGCTATGCAAAATAACGAGAGACTGGAGGATTGTTGTTTGAGAGAAGTTGGAACGACTCTAGATTCTAGTTAGGGTTTCATCGAAAGGGGTCCAAGGTGCGAAGATCCGCGTCAAGTGGCCCGTGACGGTGACGGTGGATCATCGCAATGTCTTCCGGCCGCGTGTTGATGACCGCGGCCGAAGTGGCAGCGCGTGTGCGGAAGTCATGGCTCGCACACTGAAGTATTTGCTGCATTCTGCGCCTCTTGTCGTGGAAGGAAGATGGATGATTGATCCGTATACGATCACGGCAACGCGACATCTGGCCATCAGAGCCGCTGCGAATCCCGAAGTATCGGCGCGATCTCCGACGTGGAGTGGAGTCATTTTATGATTGCCTGCGACGACTCGCGTGAGCCTTCAGGTGAGGATACAGTCAGTGTACGAAGGAGGATCCGCGTATTGTGAGAGGAGATGTGACGGCGCACACGCGTGAAGTCTTGATACGAGAATCGCCAAGCAATGCCAGGATCTGGCAAGAACAGCCTCGTCTTCGCCTTCACCAGACCTTGCCTGAATCTCACGATTAGTCGAAGCAGCACTCCTGCTACTGCCCCGTGGCTGATCCTTCAGACAGCGGCCCGCGCCAATGGAGAAGTCGAAGAAGGCGACACCAGCTTTTGCTACCCACTAGCAAGTGGCACATATCGTCTTCTCAAAAGCGTACATTCTCCTTCGGCAGAGAGACAAAAACCTCCAGGTCGTCTCATCTTTCCAGGTAGAGCTTGGAGCCAGCAGCATTACGCTGCATCCTCAACATGGCAGTCGAGGTTGCTGGACGAGATTCGAAGAGAAGACGAGTCTGGCCCAATGCCAAGCCTCGAATATCCACGCGAGTCTGCAACGCGTCCCGCCTTCAAGCCACAATGTGCACCAACGCAGAGCTCCCAGCTCTAACGTGGTCCATTTACTGCATGTAGCCGGCTAAGAAAGCTCCAGATCATGCAACTCGCGAGCTTGAGGGCTAAGGATGACCTTAACTGGCCACTGCTCGTGGACGCGTTCCTCAAACAGAGCGGCGCACATATGGACAGAACTGTAAATGCAGGACCGCGTCCATGGCGCTGATGCGAAGGCATTTAGTCCTTTGAGCGCTGCCGGAGTCGCCGCAGCTGAGAAGACGAGCAGAAGGTTGAAAAAGGTACGCCACCCTAGCTTCACTGACCGCCAGACGACAATGCGTAGAACGACCATTGCTCCTGCTCTAGCATTGAGACTGCCCTCACCTGCGCTACTTTGTGCGATTTAACTTATGATCACGACATAGAACTCCCCAGTCTGAAGCACAACACGTTCTCAGCACGATGTCTACAGATCAACCCGCCATCGGAAGAGAGGTTGGTAAAGTCGACACAGATTCAGGCGGTCTGGCCAGATATTCTCTGAAACTCCTTCTACCTCCCGGTATTACTCATGACGTGGAACCGGAACTCTCCCTCGAGTACTGCCAAGGTGGACCAAATGGTAGTCTTGGGGCCGGGTGGGCGTTGGGAGGTCTCTCTTGCGTCCGCCGGGGACCATCTTCGCTGGCATACGACAGCTTCAATCCACCGCCAGCCGATCATGATGTGACGAAGCCCAAGCTGAACCTCGATGGTGCTGAGCTGTTGCTTACCTCCGGCACCTATGAAGGCGCGGATGCAGAATATACAACAGAGGTGGAAAACGTCAGGCGCACTATCATTCCGGTCGGACCTGGATTCCATGTCAAAGAGTCTACCGGAAAACGTCTGGAATATGGCACGACCGAAGATTCCAGAGTGCTCGTCTCTGGCTCGCAGAATGTGCGGGAATGGCGTCTCAAAAAGGTGACAGACTACCATGGCAACTACATGACCTATAATTACACGGGCTACCCGCGAGGTCGCAACGTCCAGCAGCTGGACGACAATGCATGTTATCTGTCGAGCGTGGAATACTCTGGGAACGAAAAGACTGGTATTCGAGCAGCTCGCATCGTGCAGTTGGAGTACAGCGATCGTCCAGATGTGATGATCCAGACTGTGCAGGGCGATCTGTGTAGGTGGGCATCAATCCTTACTTCAGTCCACATTGGGTGGTTACATGAAGGGAACATGAAACCTTACCTCACTTATGAACTCGCATATTCGAGGTCTATTGACACGGGTGATTCCTATCTGAAGTCGATCACGGAAACATCGACATCAGATGGCAAGAAGGTTAGCTTGCTGCCATCCACTTTTGGTTATACGACTGCATTGCCGGCCGGCGCAATTGGCAAAGACCTCTTTAAGCCAGCCTCACCACCGACGATCAACCTGCCAGCCACAACGAGCAACATTGCACTATTCCCTCTGAACATAAGTGGCCGTTGCATGGCAGATCTGGCTTGTGTGCGTTACAACAAAGCTACACGACAGCTGTCGATCAAGACGTACCTCGCAGAAAGACAAGTTGATGGCACAGTGTCTTGGAACCCTTCAACAGGCCCAGGCGCTGAAGCCACATTGCAATCTGTCAGCATGAAGGACGGCTTTCCCAGCATTCTGAGTCCGGACATGAACAACGACGGTCGAGCAGATTTTGTCGTCCCGTATCCTGATGCTGACAACAGAGTATGTTTCTCTATCTCCCAGTGCGTTGGCACAGGATACAAGAACGCAACGCCGAAGAAGACGAATCTACCTTGGACCGCTGGGTCCAAGTTCATGGCCATGGATCTCACCGGGCGAGGAACAGTAGACATCGTGCAGATATTTACCGACAAGCAGAAACTGGCTTTCAGGAATTTCCCCGCACTGAATCGAGATGGGCAGGTTGATCTTCGAGACGCTATTCTCTCGCCGACCGCATACGATAACGTAAATACTATCGATTGGTTTCAGCTTCGTCATGCTGTCACAGATACCAAAAGTCTCGTAAGAATCTGGGCAAAGGATCTCGGGATGGGCCAGGTCCAATTAATGGCTACTACATTCAGTCTGGTCAAGGCGTTGGATTCAACTGCTGGCTTCAAAGAGACTGCAAAGTCGGCACTCGGAAAACCCATTCAATCTGGTATTGACAAAGTCAAGCCGAGCGTCCTCCCGTGTGACATCAATGCCGATGGCGTTCAAGATGTGGTCCTTGCACGAGCGGAGTGGAAAGGTGGTATGGTGGTGTTCACTTTTGACATCTTCTTGGGCGACGGTGCTGGTGGTTTTAAGAAATACGGAGACACAGTGTCAAAATCAATCGCCGCAGAGCAACCACTTAGTAGCGATCGACCTGGCGAGTTCTACGTCACCAACGCCAATGGTTCAAATTATCCAAGTCTGAGCTATGTCTACCAGGAGCGAACAATGAAATCATACCTCTCTCTGACTGTAGAGGGACGCAGTGATGGCTTGTTGACTGAGATTACGTCGACCACTATCGCCAGGAACCTGCCGGGCAAGAACATGCAAGTCGTTTCGTCAGATATCAACGGGAATGGGACAGGAGATTGGCTCTTCCATACCATCGAAAATGGCGTGCCTCGCGTGGTTCCTGTATACAATCAAGCTAATGCGACTGGCTTGCTATCATGGGCGCAGGACCCAATGGGACTGCGGTCGAGCCTGACATACGGCTCTCTGACTGATCCTGCTGTCTACAACCCGCAAGTTGACTGGACCAGATACGAGAATACTACTAAGGATGGCTACACTGTTATTGCGGCGCCGAGCCTTGTCGTAACCCAGCTTCAGCATCGCAATGATGCCTCTATCAACAGTTTCGACTACAGTGTCACCATCAAGAAGTCTTACGAGAAAGCTCGAGTCAGTGTATCTGGACGAGGATGGCAGGGCTTTGAACAGATCCACAGTACCAACGTCGTTGATGGCGTATTGACATCTGAAAAGTATCACCAAAGCTGGCCGCTCACTGGTACCAAGTCGCAGGTCGATACCAAACAAGCCAGCGACGGCACTCTGCTGCGCTCTGTCAAGACTTCATTTGGAGTGCGCTCGAGGGCTGTTGGCCCATGGAAAGTGTATCGTATCAATCGCCTGCTCGAGCAGACTGATCTGATTGACTCAGGATCCCCCGTAAGGTCGAACGCTACCCAATATGCCTATGATGATTTGGGCAATATGGTGCTACGATCGCTGTGGGAGACTCAGCGGGACCAGCTGATGTTCCAATCGTGGAAGCGCTGCTCTTACACTGCCATTGATGGCGTGACGAACGTACTGGTGGCAGAAAAGCTGAGCTCGAAGGAGAGCAACACCGATTTGTCGAAATTCGAGGATGGAGACTGTTCTTTAAAAATATACGAGAACGAGACGGCACGCGCCATCTTGAAAGCAGTATCAGAATGGTCGACCGATGTTGGCGCCTTTTCGACTCGGCAAATCACTTTTGACGAATATGGGAAAGAAGTACTCTCTGTCGATGCAGCTGGTCTTCGCCGAATCACCACCTACGATGATGTCTTCCACACCTTCCCAATCAAGGTTCTTGAAGAGGGTGATGGTGTTCAGCACGTGGAGTTGACAGCTTTTGACAACGCCAGTGGTCTTGAGGTCGCCAAACAAGAACCCGATGGCATGCTTACGTGTTATCGCTTGGATGCTTTCGGGCGAGTACGCGAGAGTCGCGCAAGAGCGGCACTTCAAGGCAGTGACCAGATAGCCGCACAGCAGTTTCTGACTTGCGAGTCGGTAACAGCAGACGCCAGCTTGATGACAATTCTCTTGCAAAGTCAGCTCGATCCTCACCGCAGTATCGACTTTGAGAGGCAGCAAAGTCCACCAGGATCTCCCTACATTGCGGTCAAGGTTACAACATTTTCGCACGAGGGCGATACTGGTCGTCACGAAGTTGTTGATTACGTAGACTGCATCAAACAGGTCCGCAAACGTAGCTCCCGAGATGCGCAAGATGCACATGGAACTTGGCTCTACTGGGAACTGGACTCACAAGGCCAGAAAGTGTTCGAAAGTTTGCCCGTTCAAGTCCCCATGTCCGATGGCCTGCAGTGGTTGCCTGCCGTCACAGCAGGCGTTCGTTCCGTGATGGATGGTCTTGGCCGTCCAGTGTCTCGAGTTCGGCCTACGCATCAAGGAGGGGACCACTTCATCGTTACGGCATCCGCATATCTTGATGGCGGTGCAAGGGTTCAAGAGCGTACGCTATCTTCCGAGGATTCAACCTCATTCACGAATGCGAAGCAGCTCGCTGTACTGGAACGGCGCTACATACATCGCGAGAACGAAGACCTCGTTATCGAGAACATAGACGAGAATGGTCTGAAATCTACATTCCAGCATGATGCTTTCGGTCGATTAGTGCAATGCACAGATCCCGCAGGACAAGTCGAAACTCGTGCATACAACACGCGAGGAGACATAGTCAGTCTCGATAACGTATACCAGAACACAACAGCAGAGAAGACAGGTGCATTTGTCTATCGCTACGATGCGGCACACCAGTTAGTGTCGCAGTCCAACGCAGCGGGAGAGACTATCACTTATCGACGAGATGACAAGGGGCGGCTCCTGGAGAAGATTGGTGGTGATGGCAGAACAATTCAATACACATACAACAGTTCTGGATTCGAAAGTGTCTCGTCGATTACCGTTTATCGGCAAGGGCCAAAAGAACCTTTTGACCTCCGCTGGGACTATACATACGATCATCGCGGCCGTGTGCACTCTCGTACGTTAATTCTCAGTGATGGCTCAAGCTACACAACATCTCTGTCGTACAATTGGCAGGATCAAGTGGTAGAAAAGGTCCTTCCAGATGGTGCTCGCTTGCAACACCAGTACCACGGGTCGGTCATCACGACCAGCAGCCTGACCAGCAATAAGGACTCTTCGTGGACGTTAAAGGCAGAAACCACTGCTTTCAATCCCGCGGGAAGGCCAGAGAAGCTTGTGCTCTCTGGCAGTTCCATTGCGCAACCTTTCACGCATGTCTGGGCACATGATTCGCAGGGCTTCCCTGTCAGCCATGCCCTCACTTCGAACGGCCAGACACTGGTTGACGAGCATTACTTCTACAACGACTTAGATCAGATCTCGCGCAAACAGGAACTCGTTTCGGGCTCTATCACTGACTATAGTTATCAAGGCAAGCGGCTTGCATCCTCACAGATCAATGGAAAGGACCTCAACTCGTATGCCTACGATGATGCAGGTAACCTCAAATCCCGGCGCGGGACAGCTATTGAGTATGGCCCGGGGTTTGCGAGAGGAAGTAAAGACGATGCCAGTATCTTCGACATTAGATACGATAGCGTTGGCCGGACCGCCAAGCGCGTGACTGAGAAGTCTGCGTTTGACTTCGCGTACGATTCATTTGGCGCTTTGCAAGGCATGAATGACAGTTCTCGCAAGATTTCTATCCAATACCTTGCAGACCAGGATGGCGAAACGCTGCAACGCAAACACTCTAATGGATCTACAGACTTGTTCTTTGACGATGACTTCAGCATCCACGTCAGCTCAGAGGGCGAATCGACGATTCGACACAAATTCCAAGGCACTGATGACCATAGGGGCACAGTACCTTTGCTGGCCAGCTTAACACAAGCATGCGAATCTCTGGCCCCAATTCGTGCCCTCAAGACCGACTCGGTGATCAACGTCGCATTTGCAGACACGAAAGGGAACATAACGCATACGTTCGATGGCAGCAATGGCAGCTTGAAAGACAAGTTCGACTACGATGACTTTGGTCTGCTGGCTCCACAAGACGGCACATCTACCCAAAGGGACAAGAGCGCGTGCTACGAAGGTAACTACACTGATGACGAGACTGATCTCGTCAACTTTGGTGGCAGATGGTACGATCCTCTTGTGGGCCGATTCACGACTCCGGACGACATTCTGGACATACCTTCTCTCATTCGTACAGACGGGTTGAACCGGTACACTTTTGAAAATAATGATCCGATCAATAATATTGATCCGACTGGGCACTGGACATGGTCAGCAGTCTTGGGAGTTGTCGCCGGTGTTGCCCTTGTCGCCGCTGCGGTAGTGGTAACTGTGGCCACTGGCGGTGCGGCTGCTCCTCTGGCTGCAGCCGCCGTTGGATTCCTCGCAAGCGGAGGTGTCGCTGGCATCTTCTATTCTGCGAACCATAGAGATGAGCAGGACACCGGGAAGTTTTGGTAAGTTACAATCGTTGAATAACCGAAACGAGTCTCAAATGCTAATTCTCTTGTGCAGGGCCGGTTTTGGGACTACTGTACTAGTCAACGGCGCCATTGGTGCTGCCGCAGGCGCTGCCGGTGCTTTCGCAGGCCCCGCCAAAATCGCAAGTACAGGTTACCGGATGCTGGCCAAAGGTGCCATTGGTGGTACTACCTCCGTACTTTCCAAGGCAGCCGAAAGAGGTACGGAGAACCTGTTCTATGGCCAGCATCACAATCTCTTTGAGGGAGCCGCGACGTCTTTCCTCATGGGCGCCGCCACAGGAGCTTTCTTCGGCGCCAAAGGCCCCTCGAAGCCGACGAGTGATTCTCCGAACAAGCTGCTGGGTATCAACAAATTTGAAGGCAGCTTCAAATTGAGGAGTTTCACGGGCGTTCGAAAGATTTTGGAACCGAAGCCTTATAACCCGGTAAGTCATACTCTGGAAAATATGCTGATGAAAGAGTTATGTGCTGACTTTGCGTTTTCTGCTATAGTGGACGGGTTTGACGAAACAAATATTGAAGACTGGGGGCAAAGCCGCTTTAAGCCCAACTTGGAAAGTTGGCTACTGGGCAGCGAAAGAAATGGGCATTGTACCTAAGTCGAAGTGAAGTTGCTAGCGAATACTATAGCATACAAGTACGATATCTCCGTGGCATCAAAGCGACGGTTTCATAGGCGTCGAAGCTAACAATCTGATTAGGACGCTTGTATCACGATCAATTGAATAGTGCATGTACGCGTGACAACGGTGACGAACGCCACCGCTTAGTCTGCTATCTGCACAGAACCGAGATGCGCGTCCTGAAGCTCTTATGCAAGCCCTGTGGGTCTGAAGCTGAACCATCGCAGTCCAGACCAGGCGAACTGGCTAGCGTCTGGGACAGAGCTGGTACGAGTTAGAGCCCCGCCGGAAGTGCAACTTTTGGGAGGTGAGCATCTGCTGCTGCGACGTTCACAGCCAAGCTATACATATCAAAAATTGCAGCTGGCGGCATCGCCGAGGATTTCTCCAACCTAAGACAATCCTACCCTCTCCACCGTTCGGTCCTACCAACGAACGCCAGTATGGGCTCTGAACCTGAACATCACTTGGTCTTTCTCCGCATCAGTGAGAAAGATGTGCGAGCGTACCTTGGCAAGATCGAAAATACTGCAGACAATGGACTTAAAGCATCAATCCAAAACCCGCAGATCATCGCGAGCGTGGACAATTTTCCCATTAGTAGCATGGCAACATCTGTGCCAATGTACGACTACACGCAGCAGTTGATCCTTTTCGTCGCCTACGGGAAGCTTCGCGACGAATTCGACCTCAATGACCATCAGCGCAACATCGACCTCTGGCGCATCGGGCCACACTTTAGTCTTGTTTCCGTCGAGCATGTGAATGCAATAACCAGCCCTTCCGATCAGCAACCTGGTATGGTAGTACGCGGAGAACTGGTCAGCGTTTCAGTAGAAGGAAATTCCGAAAGAAATGAAGTTTCGACTGCAATCCCGCTCATGGCACAAAGTGCAGCGGGCTCCGACTGGACGGCAGTGAAATACAGCACAAATACTAAAGAGACATTTGGACAGTGTACCAAACTGGTGCAGAGCACAGATCCAGAAATCAAGTACGTTTATCACTTGAAATTGGACAGAAGAGAAGACTCCGTCCGACCGAATTACGTATTTGTCGAACAAATGAGAGCGAGCGAATTCGATAAACTCTCCATCTCGAAAAGTTCTCTTTGGACTTCGTATGCCGTTGAACTCGGCTCCGGCATGAACGAGGCACCGACCTACGCTTTCGCTAGGAGTCGATACACAGACACTTCACCTCCAAAACGTCGCCTATACCTCTTCAAACAAATGACCGGCTGGATCGAAGTAAACTACATAAATCTCCGTCCCGACGGCTCCGTCGCATCCCCCTCCACCATAGTAAAAGCCATCCAAGAAGAACCCATCTACGACTTTGGACGTCCAAATTGGTACACGTGCCAGAATCTCCAAGCCATTGATCTCGCCGATGGGAGAATCATGTTGACATGGGCAGAAACGGGAAATGAGGAAGATGAGGCTCCTTTTATTGGAATTCCGAGAGCGATTGTTACGACGATAGATAAAGATGGAGCTTTGGAGCGGCCGTGGAAAGAAGTAGAAATGACGTGGGAGACTTCTCCTGCTGATGATGAGAGTGCCCCCAACGCCCACGAGGAATGGAATGATTATTGGAGTTCTGTTCTTGTTTCGAAGGATTTTGCGTTTTGATTCCATTGATGATACCTGTCAGTGAGTGCGTGTCTAGAAATGCACAACGATGTCTTCGCTGGCCCAGACAGGAGCATTGTGAAACATTTTTTGAGATAGAAATATGTTATACGTTTCATTTCATTTCATTCCTGGCATCAGCATATATGCTGTGCTGTAGCAATTAGCATCTAAGCTATGCTATACATGATATATCATTACATCATCTCATTCCTTATTCCAATATTCCTAACATTTAACGGAAAGGACCACGAGGACCCTCCGAAGCACTGCTCGCACCTGGGAAAGGAGCATCAACCTCGCCCAAACCTTTGCCCTCAGGCACATTGGGGCAGTTTCCAAGTCCGCGAAGTGCTGGCGCAAGCTTGCTGTCGATTAGGTTGAGAGCTTGCGACAAGAGTGGTCCCTCGAAGACGTTCGACAAAGCGGAAGGAGTATCAGCCTTAATGCTCTGTGCAATGAAGCAGCCCAGCTGGTTGGGGTCCTGGAAGTCTTCGACGCTGTTGATAAGTCCTCCGGAGAGGTCGGTGAGATCGACACCCTTGAAACTGTTGACTGTACCGGTGTTGCCGCCGACTTGGCAGTTACCTGGGTAGGTGGCGCATTGCTGGGCGGTAGAGACCACAATATCGGTGAGGGTCCATGGGTCTTGCTCGGAGCGCTTATACCAGTTCTCTGGGATGCGCTCGTGGCCAAAAGTCTATTAATTGAAAGTTAGCGGCAATTCGAGGGCGATGATATAAGACTCGAGTCAACTTACGTATCGGAGGTTGCCTTGGTCGTCACGGTCGTAGCCAAAGTGCTCCATAAAGACCTCCTTGGTCAAGAAACCGCGTGGCTCTTCAGCAGAGTGGTTGGCAAGCAACTGGAAGGCGAACATGTGGGCACCAAAGGTGAAAGCAACACCAGCATATGGTGGCGAGACTGGAGATGGGTGAGCTTGGTCCATCGACATGTGCTATGGGCGAACTTACAGTAGTTGGGGTTGTTGGCAATGCTGTACTTCTTGCGGTTGGAAGAGTGCTGAGCAAGCACACGTGGGGTGATGAGACCACCGCCCATCTCGTCCGCAACGTCGAAAAGTTCTTGCAAGAACTGTGGGTATGAAATGCAGTTGGAGGCCATCGCTGGTGCCAACCAGTCACCGCGAGTGATGGAGGCATCTCCTTCTGATCGCAAGTGTCCGTATGCGCAGATACCGGTCTGGTTGCCGAGAAGGTTTCCGACAGCGCCCAGTGAGTTCGTCTTGGGCGAGTGAGGTCCGATCGACCAGCGACCTGAGAATGGGTCTCCGTTGAAAAACTGATGATATATTAGTATCTTGATAACCTTCAGCGACGAGTATGATATTGCTTACCGAGGTCGCGGTGTTCAGGAAGAGTGTCGCGGTGCCATCGAGCGAGAACGCCTCCCAAAGACCAGTGTTGATAGCCTCTGGTGTCGCAATTCCGTCGCGTGGAATGTATCTTTATACAAAAGTCAGTCGCCACTGCGTTCATCGTCGTATGAGAGAACATACCCGTGGTTGGCTGCTGAGTTCAAGCCAGCGCATGGACCTCTGATGTCGCCTGGTCCCGGTGGTCGGAACTCGTGCTCACCAGAGACCGACACGAGTTGCTGCTCAGCGTCGAAACCGCTGAAGATGGCGTGGTTCGGAGTGCCAGGCCACTCTGGGAAGGGGATGGCACCCTCTGGCACCTGTCGCTTCTGCTTCGCGACCATCTCCGCGATGTGAGGGAAGGCCACAGCTCCATTGAGGAGGAGGGCTGTAGAGAAAAGTGTCCCGACCATGATGATTGTTCGAGAGGGTGAATGTGAAATTGCTGAACGCTCGAGAGAGTTGTGGGAGAAATTGGTCTACTTGTATTCCTCGAACAACCGCGTAAGACTATACTTCGACTTGCCTGTCTTGTCGAAAGCCGTTGTGGCGTCCGACGATCCAGGCCGGCAAGTGACTTCGTCCCATATTGCACTCTCCCACAAGCGTCACAACGTTGTGGATGTTGAGTACAGTAGTATCCGGGGTTGATTCGGGCGTTGTTCTCATTGGTTCCAAAAGCCACAGCCAAGACTAGAGCAGAAGCCGGAGCGCCCTGGCTGGGGAAATTATGCTTCTTTGCTAGAGTTAACGCAAGTGGCGAGCCACTGAGCGCATTGTACATTGTCAGCAGCACCAAGTGCCCGCATTGGCACTGCTAGAAACTGAAGGATCGGCATGTAAACGTCTGTATTCGGCACTTTCGGTCAGCCGGCTGTCCAAGTGCGTTCGCTCAGGAACAGAAAGTATATTCTTGGGGCCGACGATCCTTGAAAGTCTCTCAAATCACATGCACCTTTCGAGCTGACAAGCATTACCAAGAGCAGCACAATGACACAACAGAATGATTGTCGGAGAATATGTCACCTCCAGCGCAGAGGCATGTCATGTCTTCCAAGAGGTTCTGGTACTTCTCCCATCACAGACTTGCTCATAGATCGCAAGAGGGAGCTTCTATAGTCCCGAAGATCCAGCTCTACATGCAGACTAGGACGAAAACTTACGTGAAAGGTCTTCCCCAGAGTTCAATTTGTGGGTGAAGTCGATTTGTGGAGAAGAGGAATTCTAAGCCACTGACGACCCCAGAGGCGTCGAGCGGCGTCAGGCGGCGTTCAGACGGCGTCAGGTGCAAAATGCAGGGAACGGCGGATGGCTGATAGCTGAACCGCCACTGAGGTACGCAAAGGGTCCAGCCTTGCAGCTTGTTGAGGACAATTATTGAGGAGGGAGCAGTACTGTAGTTACCGCTCGCGGTGGATGTTCTTCTTAGGTCGGGACTCGGATCTGAGCAGCGGGCACAGTGAAGTTGTAGATGCTTCCTGAGATAACTTGTCGTATACAGGAGCCGTTCGACACTTATCGGCGATAGATGCTAGACAGCGTGGGCACTAACGTGTTTAATAAGCAATCTAATTAGACAGCTATCCTAATTAGACTAAATTAGGCCGAAATCTAAGATTTTTGAAATATAATAATACGATAACGTAGATAGCTATAGCCTTAGTACTTTAATTATAGCTCGAGGAGTATTATAATATAAATTTCCTAGAGTCTAGGACTTACTATAGTACTATAGAGCTTAAAATTAAGATATAGGCTTTAAAAAAGTAGTAGAACTACTATAACGAGAGAGTTATAGAGACGAGCTATTACTTTATTCTATAAACCTAGACCTAGGACTCCTAATATCTCTCTTAGCTTTTATTTAAATACTATATCTACCGGCGTTATCGTATTATTATATTTTTAGAATTTTAGATTTCGGCCTAATTTAGCCTAATTAGAATAGCTATCTAATTAGGTTACTTATTAAATACGTTAGCCTACGAAGTTCTATTATATATCTCTATATAGTTATAAGTAGAAATAGATAGCTTCGGCTAT